TTCTTTCTTTCTTTCTTTCTTTCTTTCTTTCTTTCTTTCTTTCTTTCTTCCCTTCGTTCCTTCCTTCGTTCCTTCCTTCCTGCCTGCCTGCCTTCCCCGTCTAGCACACGAAAAACCTATTTGCGAGTGTGAGAGTTCTCGTTTGTACACCCCAGATCCCATCCCATACATCTTTACTGGGACTTTTCTTGCTTGGACAGTAGATATTTGGAGAGAAATCCCAATACTTCCCCAAAATTTAATAGACTATTTTTGCTCTCAGTTTATACATCTCATTTTTTATTTTATTTTTTTAATCAACTTAGAGCTCTGATCACAGAAAAGCAGGAGAAGCTTTCTATTACCTCCACTGCGTTAGCTTTGTCTCGGTGGAAAGTCCAGCGCACCAATTTCTGAAGTGATGTGGGAACGCCTTAACGGGGGGGGAAAATTTCAATGTAGTTGTCTTTCTCTGCAGGTGCAAATTGCCGTCTTCAAAAAGGAATGCTTCTGCCCACATCCTTCTAATTGGTGTGTTTGCCCCCCACCAAACTCAAATCATGGTGATCATGTCAGATTATACAGCCGTTCCCATTTCAAGCCAAAGCCAGCAAAAGCCTCTTCGGGTTGGATTTTATGATATTGAGAGGACCTTGGGAAAAGGCAATTTTGCTGTGGTCAAACTCGCCAGGCACAGAGTAACCAAAACACAGGTGGGTGTGAGATTGTACTGCCTTGCCTGGTAGAGAAAATTAATCGTGAGACATTGGGAGACAGGGCTCAGTGGAATTAATCAATTTTCACAAATGTACAATAAACCAATTTACACTGAGGGGAACTAACTCCCTGTGGTAGACAGTAATGAACAGAATATAGTTTAAGTACTAGTAATAGCAAATTATTCCACACTTCAAATAGCTCCCTAAATGAATATAAAGTAGAATGACACTAAATCATAGATAACATTGATTTCACAGTTATTGCTGGCTTAATAATAAATATTGTAATTCTACTATTTATTTCTTCCTAAATGATTGCTACTTTTCAGAATGATAAAGAGTTATGCATTTGGGGCTAAGAAATCAAATGGGTGTAACTAAATATAAATGCTTACAAGCTTGGTTCATTTATATTTGAATATTTGATATAGATGGTAACATTTGGAAAATGCTGAAATTATATATACTTTGAATCTGGATTGTACAAAGCATAGAATATCAAGAAATGGAAATCACATTAACTAAGCAATCTAATTTCTAAGTAGATTTTACTTAAGAAACAAGTGAATTAAAAAAAAAACATTTCTACTGCAACTAAATATGTCCAAAGTTGTACTGCTCATATATTTTTTGTAAGTCCTGTCAGTCTGTTGGTACTAAAATATTTTAGATGTTTCATTACTTTAATTTTCACATTTCTGAAAATATGTTTTAAGACGTTTATATAATTTTATAGATATAGTTTTCCTATGTTTTTCACAACACTTACTTTTGTGTTAGTATTACTTGCAGCAATGTATTTTATGAGTTCTCTGAGTTTCTTTTTGCTTAAACCTTAGGTTGCAATAAAAATTATAGACAAAACACGGTTAGATTCAAGCAATCTGGAAAAAATCTATAGAGAGGTTCAGATAATGAAGCTCTTGAATCACCCACACATAATCAAACTGTATCAGGTAAGAAATGATTTCAGATTACTGCCTGCCTGTTAGATATATTTGGGGCTTTATGCGTGTAATGATCTTAATAATACTTGATTCCATTACAAGATGGACATATTATTTCAGATCAAAACATGTTAAATAGTTTAAATGAGAATATTTCCAAAATGCTGACTCAATGAAATGTAATTCTTTTTGTTTTTAAGTATATTTAATTTTATAAAAAGTATTTTGTTTATGGTATATGGAAAATTTTAAGAGAAAATTTCAAAACTTGGTTCATATATCTTTTTATGTTCACAGTTTAAAGAACTAATTGAATCAAGTGTATATGTTTTAGAATTTTCCTTAAAGTCTTATTTTTAAAAAAAGAAAAAGAAAAGCCAGAATGGATTACATTACTATGCTATTTCCATCTAGTTCACTCTGAATTGCAGTTGTCTGTCTAATAAAGAGGAAAAATATGTTTAAAACATTTCTGAAACATACCACAGAACCTATTTTCTGTATAGCATGCAAATACTAATCATAAACTTGCTGGTAAATATTTTGCTTTTTAGGGAATAAATGAGTAGCTTAAGAAATACAAAAATGACAACCAAAAAGACATTTATATAGAGAATTTATTTTAAAAAAAAGCCTTTGCGACTGCTATATTTGTGAATGTCTGCTATCTATAGTCAGTCTACACAGCAATATAATATGGTTGAGATTATTTTTATTTTACTTCCATAGAAAAATAAATATTTCAGGAGGTTTAAAATAATTAAATACATTGTATTAATTGGTTATTTGAATAAACAAGCGGAATGGTTTGGGGAGCTTTGTTGGATCTCCCAACTTACATGTTTCATGGCTGTTGATATTGTGCTTGATGCTTCTCTTTGATGGAATTTAAGCAATAGGAATTAGGTGAAATGCCACTTTGGGGGTGGAGGGATGGTGTTGACATGATTTTAACAGCACTGACTTATTTTAATCCAACTGGCCTCTTTCCCAGAACTTTTCAAATACCTTATTCCTTCCTATCTCTTCCCCCTCCTTAATAGAATACACATATGTTTTTATGTGTAGGATGCAAGTGCTTTTTCATGCCTTTGATATTTAAACTTCATTAGACGATGTTAGAATTTATAGTCTTGAAATTTTACACGCAAGTGTACATACGCAGGCACATGCACACACTCATTCATTCATTCATTCATTCTTTCATTCATACATTTCCCTAATATTTTTATGGATGTGAGATACAAGTCAACACCTCCATACTAAAATGTTCCAATTATCCTTGAAGAAATTTCCTTTGGATATTTGTATTTATGATTTAAGGCAGGTAAATAATGGTAAATAATGTTTAGAAACTACTGTATATATTAAACATTTTTAAAAACAAAATCAAATAAACTAATGCCCTTTGAAAACATGCTGATATTGGAAGAGTCATTCATATTTTGATGGCAATGAATGTTGGAGTTAGGCATATTTAACCCTATACTGGAACAGCCTTTTCCAATGTGGTCCGATACAGATTTTTTCGAACTGCAACTGTGCAGAATTTACAGGTCATACATTTTATCATATTTGGAGAATCTCAGATTATCAAAGGCTGTACCAAATAAAGAAATATATACAATGTCAACTATAAACAATTAAATAGCTTGTTTGTTCCTTATTGTATATTTCAAGTTCATTTGTCATCTTTTTTTCCAAATCAGTATTAAGTGGAGTTAAATATATGTCTTATCATTATATATGTTTTAATAAATATTAATTAACACAAAAAATAATATCATTTAATGAGGAGTTAGATGTCAGTCAGATGTCTGCATACAAAGATATGCAGTAGTTGCCTTCAGGCAGATAAAATTAGGTCTGTAAGTCTTCTCTGTAGATTAAATACTGGTATACAAGAAAATGCATGTTTTGTGCTATTATAAATGTGCTTTATCTTTAAAAGCATATTCAGGATTTCAGAAGTTTACATCTTTGATATGATGTTTTTCTGTCTCATATTCATCAGGTGATGGAAACAAAAGATATGCTTTACATCGTAACCGAATTTGCAAAAAATGGCGAAATGTTTGGTAAGTTCTCGTGGCATATTAGCATATTATTAACATCTATTTGCTTCTTATCCATCACTTAAAT